TCTTTTTAAGTTCATCATCATCTTCTACTTTTTCTTTTCTTCATTATAAAACTAACTGTAGTTGAAAAAAAAAAAAATACAACTGAATTCACACGTTCCATGAAAAAAAAGGACTAAATCCTTTCCAAGCAAAAGTTCACTTCATCTCTCTACAAGAAGAAGAAGAAGGTACATTGTACAATATATTTAGACTCAAACTCATATATCATACTAAATCAATCATATCCCTAATCTTTGTCTAATCCTAAGATTTTATCCCATCTTATAAACTAGAAGTTTGAGCATACTACTTATGTAGTTGAAGTTGTCAATATGGAATCATGGGTGGTAACAATTAAGAGAGTATATATTGAGTTGTGGATAAACATTTATTTTACTTTTAATCCTTATAAAAAATTACAAGTAAAGGTAAAATATATAGAAAAATTTAAGGAAAATGTTATACATCTTAAATAATTTATTAAATTTGTCACTAAATCTTTTACATAGGTATGGAACCCACATAAATTCACATGTGTGTAAGTTCCATAGCCATGTGAAAAGTTTAGTAAGAAATTTGATAAATTATTTAAAGTACCTAACATAACTTAAAAATTAATGTTGCTATGATTTTTAGAAATCAAAATTATGTGACGAAGGTTCACACTACTAAGGCCATCTTCAACGGTGCATCAAACCTAGCATCAGATTTGAAATTTGATAAAAAAGCCATTGTTTGTGTCTCCAATATTTCACCAAATTAATATCAAAATGAGAACAGAACAAAACTTTCATCAAACTGAGAACAAGCTCATGATTTCAGTATTTCACTGTGCTATAACGTTGGGATGGACCAACCGGTCAACCAACCAAATGTCCGGTCGGTTGACCCACCGGTCGACCGATTCCCTTTCAAATAAGCACGTTCAAACAGGGTCAAAAAGGTTCAAATAGGTTGAAAAAAATAAATTCTTGCCTTACTGGTCAATCGGCCGGTCGACTCACCGGATGACCCTTCCCTTTTGATGTACCGTTGGAGTAAGCCATATCAGATTGATTGAGAAAATCAGCTATTTTTTACTCAGATTTGGTGAAAAAAGTAATGAACCGTTGGAGATGCTCTAAAGCCTTGTTTGGCATGCGAATATTTTAGTCTAAAAGTCAAAAATTTACTAAAAAAATTAAAAAACCTATAACCTATACCAAAAAGTTAAAGATTCTTTTTTTTTTTTTTTACTTTTCATATATCAACTTTATAACTTTTACAGGAGCACCATTATATTCTCTATGACACTAGGATCCTTATTTTTAAGTATTTCTCAACTTTCTTAATGCCGTAGAATTATCAAGTCCTAAACTTGGTTTCTTATATGATTTTCATTGGTGATTCATCCACTTTTTTCTAATAAAATTTTCCTTCTAATGGTCGATGGAACTTATAGTTTGATTATTGATTACTGAACTGGCAATTCTAATTGAGTACAACCTTTAATGCATTGATATACATTTTTTTCATAGCAAAAATGTTAGTGTAGGGTCTCTTTGTTTTGGGTACTTTCATTTAATGCATTGATATTCAATTTTTATTTGTAAACTCATCAAAAAATTGTTATCACAAATATATAAAAAAAATTTGATGCCTAAATTCGCTGGAAAAAAAAAAACTCGAAAATTAATTTTTAAAGAAAAAAGTGTAAACCGCAAACCGCCCGCAACCGCCCGCACATTTGCAAACCCTATCCTCACAAACCGCAAACCGCACTGCGGGCGGTTGCGGGTTGACTTTTTCCCAAACCGCATAGATGCGGGCGGGTCAAAACCGAACCGCAAACCGCACAAAACCGATCCGCGAACACCGTCGATGGCCTACTTCCAAGCTTAAGTGTTTGAAAAGTGTATTTTCCGACCTAGTTTTCAAATTGGGAGTCCCGTGCCTGTTTGTTAAGTTTTCACAACTCAAATTGGTCCCTCCTGAGATGTTCGAGGTGTTCCCCGGGCCTTCTCGTGATTGTTACACGATTTCGGCCCGCCGAGGCCTATTTTCAAGCTTAAGTGTGAAAAAAGTAACTTTTCCGACCTAGTTTTCAAATCGGAAGTCCCGCGCTAGTTCCGTAAGTTTTCACAACTTACTGAAGTGTTCCCTGGAATTGTTGGTGTTCCACGGGCCTTCTCGGGACTGTTACGGGATTTGTTGGCCCCCGATGGCCTATTTTCGAACTTAAGTGTTTAGGAAGTGCATTTTTTCACTTACTTTTCAAACCGGGAGTCCCATGCGAGTTCCGTAAGTTTCCACAACTCACGTTGGTCCCTCCCTAAGTGTTTGAGGTGTTCCCCGGACTTTCTCTTGACTGTCACACGATTTTGGCCCGCGATGGACTATTTTCAAGCTTAGGTGCGAGAAAAGCGCCGTTTCGGACTTAGTTTTCAAACCGGGAGTCCCGTGTCCTCCCGGGGTGTTTGACGTGTTCCCCGGGCGTTCTCGTGACTGTTACTCGATTTTGGCCCCCGACGGCTTATTTTCGAGCTTAAGTGTGAAAAAAATGCATTTTTTTATTTAGTTCTCAAACAAAGAGTCCCGTGCTAGTTCCGTAAGTCTCCGCAACTTACCTTGGACCCTCCCGAGGTGTTTGGGGCATTTCCAGGCTAAAGCCTGAGGAATTTAGCTCAGCCATTCCGTTTATGAAGAATTGGTGGATAATTAGGTGGGGCACAGTCTGGTTGGCCTACAGAATTCGCAAATGAGTGGTTAGACTGAGAGCGAAAGTTCCCCTCTACGATGGATATCACGGTAAAGGGAACAAAACCTTATTTGCCCCAAGGGGGGTGGTGTCTAGCTCGGTTAAGGAAAGGTGGACTTCGTCCGGAATATGGTAGTCGCTTCGAAATTCAGCGATGGCACCAAGCAAGTCCACCAGAAACCGGTATTTGCCCATTGGTTTAAAAATTGTTATGAACACGGGTGCCTAGCTCGGCCCTGGTATGACTTTGGATGGCTCGGCTGAGCAAACTCGCCCAGGGAGAAAGTGCAAGGGTGTGCCTGGCCAACCTAGTCAAGTTTGCAAAGTGGAAATAAAAGTATTATGCCCAGATAACTGGACCGCGCTAAGTAAATAGGCAGAGTAATATCAGCCTAGCTTGGTTACAGTTGAGTTACAAACCATTTCTAATTCGGCCATGAAACAAGGCCGACTCAAGGTTTATAGCACGGTTGGTGTTCTATACATTTCTAGTTCAGTCGAGTACTATCCTAAGGGTTGCAAACAAGTTCATAGTTTGGTCACAGCACAATTTTGGATCAAAAATCATGTTCTAAACTGATTCAAAATCCAGTTGAGTGTGTCTTTAGGTTTGAGCGTGGGGTTTTTTGGGTTTATGGTATTTGCTCAAGGCTCTATTGCATATAACACGCATATATGGGAGATTAATTGCTATTCTTTAAGAAAATAAACAAAGGCGTATCAGTTAAAATAGAGAAAATGGCATGAGGAACTTATAGATTAAGGGCGTGAAGCAGAATTCAATCAAACGAGCCCCTGCGACTTGGATTGAGACTTGGCAGTAGAAGATAATGATTTGGAGTTAAAAATGTGAGAGGTTTTCCAGAGAGCAGATGAACAGTAACAATGGACCTTTGAAGACTAAGGGAATAAGTGCAAAATGGAAGTAAAAAGGCGGGACTATTCAAATTTTGGAAGTTATGATTGATGGCTGTGACAGCGGTAGAGGTAATCAAGGGGAGCCACGTATCCCAGTAAGGGCGTGGTGTCAGCAGCGTGGAAAAGCGGGTTGTACTACGTCAAAGACGGGAAAACCGAGTGGGTTTTGTAGCTCGACTAGCCGAAGTACTTCACTTTGGCTAATATCTTAGCACAGTTTGAAGGTAATAATCCCAGTCATGCTTCGCAGATGGAACTAAGGGCCAATTGAGAGGATAATTTATATGCATAAACCGGGCCGAGCTAGGTCCATTTGGTTTAAGTATTAGGCCTATCTAAGTGGACTCCACAATTCGTAAGGGCGCGCTTGTGGCCGAGCTAAGAGCTTTTATAGCTCGGTCTTGTGGTGTACAGATATCAGTCCAAGGACTGGAGCAGATTGGCTAGATGTAAACAGCAACTCGGACCGGGGTATATTTGTAGCATACTGGACTGAAGGTTATCTCAGTCGAATACCATCTTGGTTCTATCCAATGTAGAGCAGGGGCAGGCTAGCTCGATTGAGTGTACTACCGAGCTAAGGCAGGAGGTTAGAGCCGTCTCACTTGGTTGGTAGTGAGTAGGATGTTATCAGGAGGACTCGTATAAGGAGAGCTGGAGTCCTACTAAGATTGTGCCAGGTGGAATGTATAAAAGCTCATGATAGGACCTACGTATAGGTATCACAATTCTTATTCTCAAATACACAGAGCTTTTGTGTCTATAGTCTATTTGCTGACTTAGGCATCGGAAGGGTTTCCGGCACACACCCACCAGCTTACTCACGTTTGTATTTTCAGGTGATAAGACGACGACGTTTGAAGGAGTGCAAACTTAATCAACAGAATTATACGAGACAAATTATTTCGTGCTCGTACAATTTTAATAAAATAAATAAAAATTCAACTTTTTTACCGACCTACCAAAATAATCTGTCTTCCACCCTCTTCTACATATACATAAACATATAAATATATACATGGGTGAGAGGCGAGACAGAGAGAGAGAGATACGGGGGTGGAGATTGTGGAGCCAAACACATGCATTCGGGGTTGCTGTTGGAGCGACTCAATTCCTCTGCATCTCCCACCTTCTTCCTACTCTCTCTTAAACCCAATTACTCGAGGTATCAATCAATATATATGTATGTGTATTTGTTTTTTTGTTTCTCAATTGCAATTCAAATTCAAAGAGAGAGCTTAATTTGTGGCTCTTAATTTGTACCCCTCTTTGGCTTTGCTCTCACATTGGCTTTGTTGTTGTTCTCACATTGGCTTTGTTGTTGTGAATGTGAAACCGAATTGGTGTGTATTCATTCTGTTTCAGGAGCAGAAAGTGTGGTTTATGAAGCTGTTTTGGATGGAAACAAGGTTGCTGTGAAAAAACCCATTTTGTCTACCTCTGATCACATTGATAAATTCCACAAGGAATTGCAAATGCTATGGTCATTTCTACTCTCTCTCTCTCTCCATATATGCATTAGCTCATTTTGTCCTATTTAGCACACAAATATTCTCCACCTTTTCTCATTTTCTATCTCTGCCTTACGTGAATTCCAAATTAGCAAATCCCCTTTTTGTGTGTATATACATGCGTGTGTGTGTCTCACTATGTAAGTAACCGACTATAGTGCGATGATCAAGGCCTGCCCTGAGTTGTTGGAGCCCTAAGCGGACTCTTGAAATTGGAGCCTTTTATATATAATCATTAAAAAAATTGCATGTAAAATAGTAAGTATTTACATTTTATATATATATATATATATATTTAAATTTGCTATTACCCACACAAATTTAATTACTAAAATTTACGTACACAAATTAAGACATGAGGAAAAATCATTACAAGAGCTCAAAATGATAAGAATATTGTCTTGTTAGTTTTATAATTTAACCAAATTCAGTTTACAAAAAGGTATCAGTTAAATAATACCAAATAAAAATTGAACCAACTACAACATTGTATCAGTTAAATATTACTTTTCTCACATTTTTTAATGCAAAATTACTAATTAAGCTTGCATAATCTATAAGGACCCTTTAGTTTAGATTGTGAACTTAGATTAGTTGTACTGAATCCTTATTTTTGAGCCTACTAATGCTATAAGAGTTATTAATTAGGGGCCCCTAAATTTTGTTAAAATTTGGAGGCCCTTGGTGGTCTTGCCTCAAGGTTGGGGCTGGCCATGATGCATTTGGGGGAGGAGAGGGATATTGGTTCTGGAAAAGGATGTTGAGGTGGTTTTAGGTAGTTTTACCATTTTATCATTCTGTGCAAATCAAAATAGAATCCAAAGATGTTTGAGCACGGGGTAATTCAGGCATACTAAAAATCTGTCAGGGACATCAATTAAGGTGTTACCTTCTAATAATAGTATAAAATATGCGCTTATATATGAATTTATGTGTGTAGATGTTTATGTATGTGCATTTGGTTTGTTTATTTGAATGTCTGCATATGATAAGCGGGATTCTTTTTTGACAATTTGGTTATATGATGTGATGATGAAGCAAGTTAGATCATCCAGGAATCGCCACATTGGTTGCAGCATAAATTCCATCAATTACATGTTTTTCTTCAAAGAGTCCCTAAATTTGGCAGAGAAACTACACGTGGAAGAGTGGAATCCAACTTTTGATCAAGTGCTCACCATCTCAATCCAGTTAGGTATGTCTTTGATGATCTTGGCTTCATTTGAGTTTGTTTTAATTTTGTGAAGTAAACCTTAATTCCTTACTCGTCATTGAAATTCTTTGTATTTTCTTTGTGATATTCTATGCAAAATTCCTCTTATTAAGGGTAAATAAGTAGTATAGATTAGGCTGAACATGACACTCAAAGACTCATAGTGTTTTATTACCTGTTATGATTAGTTTAGGTAATATGAAATACTTGAGATGATTCTTATAGGTGCTTAGTTCACATTGATGACATGTTAGTGATGTGTAGATTTCAGGTTTAGGTTCCTAACTACCATAAAGTTATATAGTGAATCTTTCCATTGGTAGTTTTCTTGCTTGAAGTCTCTCTTTTTACCTTGAGTGTTGCTAATGGTACTACTCGTGCTCTGTCACAATTATTACAAATGATGAATTTTCGGAATTCTTGGACATTTAGTCTTTTTTGGAAAAATAATAAATAAAGAAATGTAGTAAATCCTTTAAACAGAGTCTTCTATTAAGCCTAAATTATTTTCAAAGCATCTTTTCAATTCTGGACGAAAATAAAAATTTTAGCCCTAGTTTTTGTTTAGATACAATTGAAGGAGTAAAATTGTAACTTAAATGATAGATTTGTGTTAGGAGCAAAACTCCAACAACCCCTAGCAATAATAATAATAATAATAATAATGATAATATTTATCAAAAAAAATAATAACAATTAAAAAAATTAAGCCATTAAACAATAAACACCTATGAACCCGTACTCCAAAAATCTTACCGGGTGCGGGTACGAGTACCGGTACAGCAGTACGCGTACCGGGTATGCCGAATACATGCCGAGTACGGCAAATACATTTGGGTACGTTGTGGGTACGGCATGGGTACGACACCAGTACGGCAAAATGATTTTTTTTTTTTTTCCCCTCAGATGCTAGAATTTATTGTAGCCTTTATTATTATTCTTTCAATTTTGAAAATATCAAGTAATTCATTTCCAACACTCTTTACCTATGAGTCATGATTTTGCTCTCTTTTGTATCCTGTTTTAGACAATCAAAAAAGAAAAAGAAATAATTGTATAACTTTTTAGACAAGTTTTTCTCTTTTTAGTTTTGATATTGAAATTTTGATTTGTATGTTGGATGTTTAGCTATAAATTTTTTAAAAAATAAAAAAAAATTGATGTAAAATTGATGTACCCAGCCGTACTAGTACCCTACTTTTTAAAGAATTTGCCGTATCGGTGTACCTGTATTGTTCCCGCACCCGCACCCATGCTTCATAGATAAACACTTAAGGCTGCAAATTACTATTTGGCGATTGTTACCGTCTAGAGGGAAAAAAGGTAATAAAAAAAAAAAATGATATGAAAGTCAAAATGTAAATGCTTTGGTATGTAACTTTAATTTGTTGATTAAGGTTGGAGTTTTCTATTTATTCGGGAGGCTTTTATAGGAACAAATGAAATTACAATGGACTTCATTTGATTGAAGGGTTGATATCATGTCTTTAACAAATTAGGAGCAATTGAAATAGGCGCATGCCTCGGATGCGCTTCGTTAATGTCATCTCACCTTAGGGATGGCAATGGATCGGGTTTTGAGTGTGAATTCTTGCTTTTAAACTAATTAATTTAGTGATACAATTTTATACTTTGCTTTACTATAAACCTGGCAGTTTTGACCTACCTACCACTATAGTTTACCCTACCCTGGCACAAATACAATCGGGCCAAGGAATTTTGCCATCCCTCAAGTGCACCTTACTGCACTTTGTGCCTAGGTGCGTGCCTAAGCACGCTTTTGATAGCATTGGCTTAGATTTTACACACATTTCATAAAACATATGGTGTCAATGATTAAAGATGTGCAATCTACTACCATGTTGTGTTCTTAAGTATTGTTTTTTTCAACATATAGGAATTAGTAGTGTTTTTTTGTCAATTTTGAATAGATTATTCCTGATGCATCTAGAGAAGGGAACCCAGACTTAGATTAGGTTATTGACCATTGACCAAAATAAAATAAAGAGATTAACTTATTGGTAAGTTTTAGCATGTTGCACAAGATTTATAAGAATGTCTAAACATATGAGTGATGATAATGAAGTATTTATGTCACGATGGACATAATGCTCTTCAAAAATTTTGATAAATATCCTTGAATTTCTGTAAAACATGGGAATAGCTAACGTGGAATATGATTTCAATTTTTAAAACATTCATGAATAAATAATGCAAATAATATTAATTTTTCTAAATTATTTCCAACATCTCACCAATTTAACCTGCATGGATAGCCTAGTAATCAAAGGAGTGAACTCTTGGATAAGATATAAACTCAGATGTTTTGGGTTCAGCTCTTGCTGGCATCTAGACCCTGTCTTGGAGAGCTTCTTCATCATCCAAAAGGAAAAAAACCTCGCCAATTTTACTAACCAAATGGCTTTTAATAGACTCGAGTGGAGAAGAAGGATTCATGTAGCTGACCCTATTTGATGAGACTTAAGGCTTGGCTTGGCTTGGTTTGGTTTGGTTTGGTTGGGTATTAATTAAAGTATTCATATACATGACATATAATAAATATATAAAACTATTTATTTTGCTGGTGTCCTTCACGTGTTGCATCTTGCATTTTTTGAAATTTGTTGTGCTAGCATGTCCATGTCATATCTCTATCGTGTCTCTTGTCCATGTCCATACTTCTTAGAGTGTCTAATAATGGATTAAACACTATTTTGTTGGGCTGACTATTTTCATGTCGTACTTGTCAAAAAGCAAATAGAATGATTGGTCATCTTGATCATTCATGAATGCCTTAATTCACTTTATCTAACAAATTTTGTGGCAATGTAATAACAAGAAGGGTATGCATGTACTTTATATTGTTAGGGGATAACATTTCAATGCTAGATAGTATGTATAGACCGAGTCTTTTGCTTTGTTATCTAGGTAGCTTATTTCTCTTACAGTCCTACCTTGTCGTAGAACGTGGGATTTGATAGATCATTATCATTTGCAATGACATGTAGAAGAATTTATTTTATATAATTTCATATAAACATGAAATTTGATTTCGATGTGTTGCAGTGAACTGCTTACTGGTGTTGTCCCATATACTGATCTTCGTGCAGAAGCGCAGGTTTGACTTTTTCCTTTTACTATAACTCATTGTTTACATGGCTATATGACTGTTAAATTATCACTCTTGCGAGTGGAGGTGTAGAAATGTGTGTGGGCCAGTAATAGCATAGATGAAGTAAATGTCTGAGGAGTTTGGCACCTCCTTGATGTTGATGTTACGTGCCCCGAAAGTGCTGGTGATGTAAGGGGTGCTAACTCCTATTTTTAAGAGGGGGGTCACAAGACCCATAACAAATTTCCTAGATATTTCTGGATTCCATTACGATATGCCACAACATGTGGCTGTGTATCAATCCCTTAGGATTTGCCTTGATCCCTGAGCATCCACACAAAAGGTCCAATGGTGTGGTATCTCTCTCTTAGTAAGGCTGGCTTAAGTGGCCCTCACGGGGGTGTCATAGTGATCAACACTTCAGTCTCTAGCCACCAAACCACAAAATCTTCCGAGGTGCTATGTTGAATACTTCAGCATATATAAGTCCTGCCTCTTTGACTTGGCTATTGGACGAATGGCACAGTGTTACTATCGCAGAGTTGAAGGACATGTAGTTTGACCACCATGGTGATTAAGACAAGTGGAACACTTGAATCCTGCAGTTTAACCACAGCAGTTTCAGGCAAGCGTGGCATGAACTCATTTTCTGGGACTTGGGGTATATTTCCTGCCACTCTGTGTTGAAGGTCATGTAGTTTGACCACCACGCTAAGCTCTCTCATTTTCAGCCACTCTGTGTTGTTCAATCTCATTTAACATCTAGTGGGATTTCTCTTCCTGCTTTCTAGATTACTTCTCATACCATTCCTCATTTTTCTTGTCATTCAGTTTATGAGCACACATGTTCATGCATATAACTGCTTATCAGGGTTCAGGTTTCCCATATAATTTTCATATTCTAAAAATTGTATTAAAAAAAAAATGTTTCTGTTGAAGTTAAGTTTCTTCTGGACGTCCAATTCTTCACAGATAATATCTTACATCTTAATCTGATTGAATGCCCCCTAATCATTTGACCTGTCAACTATGCTTTTTATCTGGACGTCCAATTCTTCACAGATAATATCTTACATCTTAATCTGACTGAATGCCCCCTAATCATTTGACCTGTCTACTATGCTTTTTAACATGGTTGTGCCTTATCGGTGCATCATGTGATCTGCTTGCAGGCCCACACTGTGCTGGAAATGAACTATACTGAACAGCAACTTACAGCAGCCGTGGTGTCTGAAGGATTGCGACCTGCTCTTGCTGGTCACAGCTCGTCTGCACCAACAGGTTTCCTGTCCTTGATACAGAGATGTTGGGATGCAAATCCCCAAAATAGGCCTCCTTTGGAGATATTATTCTGGAACTTGATCCCATCTTGGAATGCAGAAAGAGAGTAGAGGAAGACGAAAAGGAAAAGGCACTTGTGGAACCTTCTATCCCTCTTGGTGATGAGGGCATCCCGAGCCTTCTTGCTTATCAAAAAAGTATTAGCTGGTTTACTGAGGGTGAAAACCTGTCAAAGAGATCTTGTCTCGCAGCTGATTCTGGTG